GGTTTTGTTGCAAGCGCTCTTTCTTCTCACAGAGGAGAAATCGGGATTCGAGAGGAGTGGAAGGGATAAGAAGGGATTTTTGACTGAGACTCCAAATCGCCAGCCTGTTCGATTCAGAGACTTGATGCATACTGTAACACTGAGATTTACTTTCAATTTGTATGCAGTTATGTCGACCGTTCCGCTTTAGGCTATATACGTCCAGTTGTACCCGACGCTATTTATGCCTGCTGCTTCTTGAGGCCCACTTCCTCTAGCCCTCTGTCTTTCAAATGGTCAATTTCATTCTCACAGCTACCAATCACTGATGCTCGCCACCTGATTATTATATACAATATATGTATTATGAACTAAATCAAGTTTTTTCCTCCGTTTGCCGTAATTGCTTTACGTTCTAAATCGCATTTAGAAGTCCGAGTTCAATAAGCACGAACTTTTTAAATGTCAAATTTTTTGTATAAAACAATGGTTGTTGATGACGCATTAAAACTCGCTGATACTGTGCATCACAAGAAAAAAAAAGAAAGGTGCGGAAGAAAAATTCTACTTCCAACTTTTGTTGTTACATTGCTGGCTTTCCCGTCCCCGCAGCTGCTGTAACAAAACTCATAATACTCGGTAATCAGCATATTCTAGCAAACTTTTCTTTCTCCCCTCCTCTCCTTTTTCCACTTCTCACTTTAATATTTTTTGCAGGGAAAATGCAATGACTATTTATCAAATAACTCTTTATTGGCAGGAATTTGAACTGCCAAAATAAGGCATTATTTTGATAACTTATTATGACCAAAGCGTTAATTATTCTTCAATGTGTTGCTCCAGAATCTAATGTATGTGTTTTTGCAGGAAAATAATGTGCGCTGCCCCTTGTCTACTAAAGCCTAGCACTGCACCGCGGCTTGGCTTTTTTGTCTATTTGCTGGCATTCATGGCTGTAATTGGTGGTTTTCTCTTTGGTTACGACACGGGTATTGTTTCCAGTGCAATGTTATATGTTGCGCATAATACCGGCATGAAGCCTATGGGTACCATTTGGAAAGAACTGATTGTCAGCATTACTCCAGGTCATCTAGCCTGCTGACCAATTCAGCAGTTCACTAATGCCATTCAGACCATTTTTTGTTGTTGTTAAGACAGAGCCACATATCGAGCACAGACGTCTTGGCCCTACCCTTATCACCTTATAGGAGCAACGAACAAATGAGGCAAGCTAAAGTAGCTAGCAGCTTGCATAATCACTCCTTCCGGAATACAGTGGGACCAAAACCTCTAAGCTGCACTGCCCGAAAGTGACCCAGCATTAACGGGCATCATTGTATCTATTTTAGTGCTGTATTCAGCAAAAACAAAGAAACTGTGGGGGCAGAGCGACCGACTTCTTTCCAGGTGAGTGAAAGGAGACAGCAATGTCTGCAAAGAGCAGTAAAAAAAGTGAGCCAGCGGGTACAAAGTTAAGCTGGAAATTTAGAAAGCTCAAGCAAGATGAACGCAAAGTTTAGCCAAAGAGACGTTAAATTTTTCCGGTGCAGTGCAAATTTTTTTTTGATAAGGATAAAAGATTAATTACAAAGCATTCATTTGCGTCGGAAAACAGATAGTGTATTCAAATGTTCTGAAATATGAGTTGAGTGAAAATACTAAAAATGTCGTCTTTACCAAGAGAGGAGGGAAAGTAGAAGAGATACT